ACCCCCGGCCTCCCCTGAGACCCCCCCCATCCTTTAGACCACGCCCCGACTGCTAGGGGACCCCACCGGCCCCCCACCACCACACACGACACATCGAGATCTCAGATCACGTCCCCCCCATCCCCATCCCCCGCCAACAGCACCTCCGACCAGGCCTTACCTCTGTGCTAAAGACCCAGATCATATTAAAGAGACACCCAGGACCACAAAAAGAAAGAAAGAATGTGTCCTCGGCTCTTCCATGACCTCCACACCCCGCCAGGGCCCCGAACGCACTCTCCCCACCCCGGGGACTCAAGGGCAGCCAGCAATCAATGCCTCTAGCATACAGGTGGACCCTAGACCACACCCCAACACTCAGGAAGGTGGCAGGCCCACGGGGTACCAACCCCAAGATCATGCCTGAGCCCCTCTGAGGACCCCAACCTTAATCCATAGCTACTCAGCACCACAATCAAGGTCCCATGACTTCGTGAAGACCCTTCCTCTCTTCCCGCCATTTCCTTTCTCCTTCCAGGACCCTTAGCCCCTTCCTGGTCTCCAGGGCAGTCTAGAGCACCCCACAATGTGTGTGGGGGGGTGCTTTTATTTTTTTATTGTTATTATAAAGGTGATGTATGTAGTGTTTACATGCTTAAACTTTCCACTTTCTCCCCCTATTGCATCCACGTTCCAACCTTCTTAGGAACCATAGACCATCCTCTTCTTACCTCTCCTTTTGATTTACCCTAAATTCTTTCCCATATCTCCCCCCCCCATCCTCTGGCACCCTTCCACACCCTTTTCTCACTCTGACTCCAAAGAGCCCAGGATACCTTCCTCCCAGCCCTTCCCTCCAACACAGGACCTTCTCCATGTTCCCACCATCCCACAGGCCTCTCTGCCTTACCCTTTTGCTGTTTTATGTTGTTGTTGTTGTTGGACGGTTTGTATTTTGGTGTTTTTTTCTTTTTTCTGTTGGTCCTGGAGCTGAAGCTCAGGACCTAGGCGCTGTCCTTGAGCATTTTTTGGCCCAAAGCTAATGTTCTACTACTTCGGCCACAACTCTGCTTCTGCCTTTTGGGGATTCATTGGAGATAAGAGCCTCATGGATTTTCCTGTCTGGGCTGGCTTCAAATCATGATCCTCAGATCTAGGCCTTTTGAGTAGCTTACAGGATTACAGATGTTAACCATTGGCACTTGGCTATGCTTTCCCTCCCTCCCTTCCTTCCTTCCTTCTTCTTTTCTCTTTTTTCCAGTCCTAGGGCTTGAACTAAGGGCCTGGGTACTGTCCCTGAGCTTCTTCTGCTCAGGGTTAGCACTCTACAACTTGAGCCACAGTGCCACTTTTTCTGTATATGTGATACTGAGGAATTGAACCCAGGACTTTATGCATGCTAGGCAAACACTCTACCACTCAGCCACATTCCCTGCCCCTCTTATTTCTGTTTTCTTTTCTTTTGTCGGTTGTGGGGCCTGAACTCTAGGCTTGGACACTGTCCCTCAGCTCTTTAGCTCAAAGCTAATGCTCTACCACTTGAGCCACAGCGACATTTCCAGCTTTTTCTGCTTATATGGTGTTGAGGAATTGAACCCAGAGCCTCATGCATGCAAGGCAAGCACTCTACTACTGAGTCACCTTCCTAGCCCGCCCATTATTTCTTTTTCTTCTCTCTCTCTCTCTCTCTCTCTTTTGGTCAATCATAGGTCTTGAACTCTGGTTTGGGCACTGTCCCTCAGCTCTTCAGCTCAAGGAGAACGCTCTACCCCTTGAGCCACAGTGCCACTTATGGTTTTCTAGTGGTTAATTAGAGATAAGAGTTTCATGGACATTCCTGCCTGGGGTTGGCTTTGAATCTCAATCCTCAGATCTCAGCCTCCTGAGTAGCTAGGATTATAGGCATGAGCCACCAGCACCTGATCTGTTATTTCATTTTTGACAAAGGGGTTCAGCTAAAATTCCCTAGGACTAGCCTCAGAATTTGTGATCCTTCCACTCTCTCTGCCTTGAGTAGCTGAGATTATAGACATGCATGACCATGACCAAAACTCTCCATCTCTTTTTTCAGATGCTCATAGAGATGATCCCCAAACCTAGCAAGGTCTTCCATCAAAATCTGCCTTGTTGGAGCTGGGAAGGTGGCTCAGTGGTAGAGTGCTTGCCTTGCATGCATGGGGCCTTGGGTTTGATTTCTCAGCATCACATAAGCAGAAAAAGCCAGAAGTGGCACTGTGGCTCAAGTGGTAGAGCACTAGCCTTGATCTGAAGAGCTGAGAGACAGCACTCAGCCCTAGAGTTCAGGCCCCACAAAAGACAAAAAACAAAAAAACAAAACAAAACAAAAAAAACCCTGCCTTATTGTAGCCCCCCATACTTTTGAAGCTTCAAATGCTTCTCATTTTGGATTTCACCATAAATTCTTCCCTGCCATGCCATCACAAGAAGTGTGCCCTATCCCCAGAACCAGCTACCTTCCCTTTAGTGAACCGTGACCCAGTCACTCGGGAAACACCACCCCACACACACTTCATGGTCTCTACTGCTCACTGCTGGAGCCTGGAGTTCAGCCTGGGAGGATACAAGTAGGGGAAGAAATCACAACAGAAAAGTGAGTACAGATGTAGCCCCAGTATGTGCCAGCAATGGTGTTTAAGGATTGGATGATTCAATCTTCAGAATAGCCAAGTAAGAGCTGGGCCCTGGTACCTTATGCCTAGAACCCTAGCAACTCAGGAAGCTGAGATCTGAGGATCATAGTTTGAAGCCAGCCAGGGCAGGAAAGTCCGTGAGACTCTTAGCTCCAAATAACCATCAAAAAGTCGAAAGTGGAGCTGTAGCTCAAGAGACAGAATGCCAGCCTTGAGCAAAAATGCCAAGTGATAGTGAGAGGCCCTGAGTTCAAACCCCAGATTAGAAAATTAGGGAACAGGTAACTTCAGAACCTTAGACCAAAGCCTAGAAATATTGGGGAAAATAATAATTTCCGGCTTGTATCAGCCTTCTAAGGAGGCATACTTTATGTGCTGACTCCTCATTGGATAACTAATTTATTCTGGACTCTCTGATTGGTTCATCCACAATCAGCCACACCCACTCTTCATCAGTCTAGCCCTGTATCATCTTCTTTGATTAGTCCTTGATTCCCAAAGGAAACCTTTATTCCTGATTGGACAAAGCTCCATACATGCCCCTTTCTGATTGGATCTTTGACAATCACCAGCCTAGGTGCAAATAGAAATTTATCTTTGAAGAAGTGGGAACCCCAAGGAGGAGGAGGGGAAGAGAAGAAAAACAACAACAAAAATAAAGAGTTCCTTAAATATCTTGTCAAACAGATAGTATGACCATGGATGACAGGATAGTCTCAAGTTCAAGTCCAAATTACTCACACCATTGGATCCAAACAACTACACTGGGATTCTATGCCTCAGTTTCTTCCATTTAAAATCAAAGGATCCAGGTATGGTGATGCATGACCATAATCCCAGCACTTCTGAGGCTTGAGGCAGAAGGACCTTAAGTTTAAGGCCAGCCAGGGCTATATAGAACAACCTAGTCTCAAAAAAAAAATAGTGGATAATAATAGTATCTTCTTCATGGAGTTTTGTAAGGATTAAATGAGTTAATGCCTGTGAAGTGCTCTGTGTAAGTACCGGTGCTCTCAATAGCAGAATTAGCTATTATCATACATTCGAGTATATCTAAGTGCATGACCTTTAGATAGGTCTCTTTGCCTGTTTGACCTCAGCAGGCCAAGAATTCCCAGATCTGTTTATTGAATACTCCTTGTGTCCCCTAGGTCCCTTCCTTTGCCACCTTCAGTCATCAGATAGAGAGATTGTAATCAATGGGATGGATGGAAAAATGGGTGTTAGAGGCCAGTTGCCAAGAGGAGAGGCCTCCACCAATTCCCCCCAAAAACTGAAATTGGGTGGAGGGAGGGACAATTTCTCTATGGACCAGTTGGGGGGGGAAATGATTGAAGTCCTTATGCAAGACTTGGGACTGGGGACAGGGGATAAGGGACTGGATGGAGCAGGGTGAAGTGGTGAGAGGTCTCTGTGATAGGGAGGAGATGGATGGAATAAGATTGGGACTGGCTTTTAGGCTCTCCCTGAGGAATGGGGGGGGGGAGAGCTGCCCAGACCCAAGGTCACTGTGTCATTGTTACCATGGCAACGGCCACCTCTCTACAGGGAACCTGGAAAGGGGTGGAGTGGGGGGGGGAGGCTTTCCTGGTCCCTGAATCTGGAGATGGAGAAAGAAACAGTGAGAGACCTGGAGGAAAAACCTGAGGAATTGTCTCATCATCTTGGCGAAGACTTGTTCATCTTAGAGTTCACAGAACCTGGTACACCAAAGGTGCTCAATAAATATCCTTCAGAGACAGGGCCAAAGGCTGACACAGTGTCCATGCCCCCAAACCCCAGATGCCACTGAAAGGAAAGAAGAATCAGGAACAGGTTGGGAGAGGGGGGGGTCACCATTTCCTGTTCCTTTAAGGCACAGGTGTCCATTGATACTGCCACATCTTCCTCCCTAACCCGGGTACCCTAGCACCTATCCATCCAACCAAACCCCCAAACCACTGGCCAGCCACCAGCGACTCCGGAGCCCCTGAAGCAATTATGATCAATTCATTCACTTCTTCACCTTTAAATTCTTTCCACTGAAGGGCTCAGTGTTCAGTGTGAGTGAGCACTGAAATCCACTAGCACTGAAGCCTATAAGGTAGAGAGAGAGCACAATACCTTTTTTACCCTCGGGGGTGTCTGTTCCCTTAAACAGCAACCCACCCATAGATTCAGAAGACTCAGACCCCTCACTCCCACCCCCAATCCACCCCCCCAAGAAATCCCATAGTCCCGGCCCCTTCTAGTAAACAGGTGTCTGAAAATGTCTGTTTCCCCCTCCCCTCAAGGCTTTCTGCCCCCTGTCGGCCAACGACTGGAACTGCAGGGCTACCACCCACAAACATGAAGTCAGAATTGAGGATCTGAGTTCTTGCATTTTTTTTAAATGGTTTTATAGTCTTGGATGTTTGGATGGCAAGAGTCTGGAATCTTCAGTTCCCCCTTGGGACTCAAACATGAGAACTTCAAGTTCCTGCTTCCAGAGTCAACGAAAAAAAGACAACTTCTCTTGGAGCCAGGCCTCTGTGAGGTCGTCGGTGGTGCGGATTTCAAACACCTGAGCAGGGAGAAAGATCTCCACATTAGAATTCCATGGGGACTGCAGACACCTTAGATCCAAGGATTGGGGGGTGAGGACACAATCTTCGTCCCTCAGCCCCAGGTCTCCAGGCCCCTCTGGGATCTCGACATTCCCACCCTTTCCTTCCCTGCACCTTGGTGAGCTCAGCCGTCTGTACCAGTCTGTTCTTACTCCCAGCGTACATCATCTGCTGCTCCGGTTTGCAGCCTGTGTGACACCGAGAAGAGTGTGTCACTGAGGACCCGAGAGTGCTTAGTGACACTTTAGACACGTCCTTCAAGATGGCAGTTTTCCAAGGGCCTTTGGAACTGCTATGGGATGTCCCAGAATGCTCTACTGAATTTCTAGTTTCTACATTTGTTTGCTTGGGGGCTTCAAGTTCTTTTTTCTTTTTTTGCCAGTCCTGGGTCTTGAACTCAGGGCCTGGGCACTGTCCCTGAACTTCTTTTGCTCAAAGCTAGCACTCTATCACTTGAGCCACAGCACCACTTCCAGCTTTTTCTGTGTATATGGTACTGAGGAATGGAACCCGGGGTTTCATGCATGCTAGGCTAGCACTCTACCACTGAGCCACATTCCCAGCCTGGCTTCAAGTTCTTGTGTGTGCATGGTGGGGGGAGGGTCCTCTGATTTAAAGGCCAGATGTAGATTTCTCTGCAAAAGGAAAGGGGTAGAAGGTGGCTTCTGCCTGGGGACAGAGAGAGGGGGGGGGTTTATGGCTTTAGATGCATCTAAATTCCTCCCCCTCTTTCTCTCTCTCTCCTCTCTCTATTCACCATCTTTTTTTCTCTTTTTTTGTCAGTTGTGGGGCCTGAACTCTGGGCCTGGGCGCTGTCCCTCAGCTCTGCAGTTAAGCCACAGAGCCACTTCTGACTTTTTCTGCTTATGTGGTGCTGAGGAATTGAACCCAGGACCTCATGCATGCAAGGCAAGCACTCTACCACTGAGCCACCTTCCCAGCCCCTCCAGCACCATCTTCTTGCTCTAATACAGGCAATCCATATGCATTTAAAAAAAAGCATGCACCCACATACACTCACACCCCGGGTCCCCCAGAATCTAACCCATCTCCTGAGGATAAGAAAAGCCATGTCTCACCCACAGGGCTGGAGAAGATAAAACACAAGGGGTAGGACACCCGGCCATCTGCATGCACGTACTTATAGCTGTAGACCACGAACCTATGCCAGCAATAAGGAAATCACACTCAGCACTTGAGTCTGTCTTCAGCCTTCAGTTCTCTCTCTCCCTCCCTCCCTCTCTCTGCCTCTGCCTCTGTCTCTGTCTCTCTCTCTCTCTCTCTGGGTCTCTCTCCCAGTACAGGTCCTGAACTCAGGGCCTTGAGCTATCTCTTGGCTTTTTTTGCTCAAGGCTGGCACTCCACCATTTGAGTCACATCTACACTTTTGGGTTTTTGGTGGTTAATTAGAGATGATTCTGGATTATCATTTTTTGTTTATACATATATTCTTGCTTATACATGTTTGTATGTATATACCATATTGTAGATATTAATATGAATATGAGCATATATAGATAGATGGATGCATAGCCACATAAAGTCCTACAAAGGGGGCTGGGAAGGTGGCTCAGTGCTAGAGCGCTTGCCTTGCATGCTCGAGGCCCTGGGTTCGATTCCACATAAGCAAAAAGAAAAAAGCCGGAAGTGGCGCTGTGGCTCAAGTGGTAGAGTGCTAGCCTTGAGCTGAAGAGCTGAGGGACAGCGCCCAGGCCCAGAGTTCAGGCCCCATGACCAGACCAAAAAGATAAAAAATAAAAAAATAAAGTGCTAGAAAGCAGAGATTATCTTTTTGGGGGGATGGGGGTACTGGGGATTGAACCCAGGACATTGAACTTGATAGGCAAGTATTTTGCCACTCAGCTACATCCCAGCCCAATTACCTTTTTTTTTAAGTAAATTTTTTAACCAGACTCTGGTGGCTCAGGCCTGTATCCTAGCTCTCAGGAGGCTGATATCTGAGAATCATTGTTCAAAGCCAGCCTGGCAGGAAAGTCTGTGAGATTCTTATCTCCAATGATCCACCAAAAAGCCAAAAGTGGAGCTATGGCTCAAGTGGTAGAACACCAGCCTTGAGCAAAATACCTAAGGCACTGCACCTATGCCCTGAGTTAAAGCCTCCACACACACACATGCGTATGCGTGCACACACACGCACAGATAATCTGACTTATTGAATTGAAATCCCCTTTTGTACAACCTCTTAAATTTTTTTTTGCCAGTCCTGAGGCTTGAACTCTGGGCCTGGGCGCTGTCCTTCAGCTCTTCAGCTCAAGTCTAGCGCTCTACCACTTGAGCCACAGCGCCACTTCCGGCTTTTTCTATTTATGTGGTAATGTGGAATCGAACCCAGGGCTTCATGCACGCGAGGCAACCACTCTACCACTAAGTCATATTCCCAGCCTTAATTTTTAAAAAAAAGAAATGTTTTTCTCTCTTTCAGAAACAAAGCCAGTAAGACATTGAGACTAAAGCAAAAAATAAACTCTAAACCAATATAATATATAAATTAATATAAAATTATGCAATGAAAGCCAGGTGCCGGTGGCTCATGCCTGTCATCCTAGCTACTCAAAGCCAGCCTGGCAAGAAAGTCAGTGAGACCCTTGTCTCCAATAAACCAATAGAAAAAAACAGAAGTGGTGGTATGGCTCAAGTGGTAGAGAGCTAGCTGAAGAGCTGAGGGACAGCGCCCAAGCCCAGAGTTCAAGCCCATGACCAATAAAATACAAAAATAAAATAAAATAAAATTATGCAATGAAATAATATTACATCAACCAAAAGTTCTAGGAAGTCTTCATCGCAAACACAGAGACCCTGAGTCCATGCACAAGTGAACCCTAAGTCTAGGCCTCCATTTTCATCCCCTCCCCACAGCCCAGTCCTCCACTCCCTTCCCCCGGGATACCTGGGCTGTCTCTCTGGCAACTCCAATTTCAGTTCCTCTGGAGAAATATTCTGAGACGGGAGACAAGGGACAAATAGGAGAGAAGGAAACAAATAAAGGCCATAAATAAGCACATACATAACCTACTTCATGTAAATAGGTCTTGTTATCATACCCACACAGCCCAGAGATATCAAGACACTTGCCCAAGGCTGCACAGCTGGGAAGTAGCTGGATTCAGATTTGAATCTTTGTTCCCATGGTAACCACTTCACTATCCTTCCTTTCGTAGGGTGGGTGGAAGCTCAGCTCTTAGCCAGTCCTACCCCACACACCCCACAAAGCCACAATCAGAAGGAAGCCTTATCATCATTTATGATTTACTGATAAAGACAAGGTGGCTTCCTTGTCTTCCTGATTACAAAGGAGTTCTGTTAATTTATCTAGACTCATTTTCCTCTAAGTGTCAGGGAGGTGTGTGTATTTGCACACAATCCTGGGGCTTGCCGTGGGGCCTGGGTGCTGTCCCTTAGGTTTTTTGCTCAAGGCTGGTGTTCTACCACTTGAGCCACAACTCCCCTTCTAGGTTTTTGCTGGTTAATTGGAGATAAGAGTCTCAAGGATTTTCTTTTCTGTTTTCTTTTTTTTTTTTACGTCTGAAACCCGGACTTTAACTCTGTACCTGCTGCTTTTGCTCATTGGCTAGCACTCTACCAACTGATCCATGTCTCCAGCTCCCCACGGACTTTCTTGACTAGTTTGGCTTTGAATTGCTATCTTCAGATCTCGGTCTCCTGAGTAGCTAGGATTATAGGTGTGAGCCACTAGGGCCTGGCAGTATCACTTTATTGAGCACATAATTTGCTCCAGGCCTTAACTTCAGGTTAAGGAATTAAACCATTGTTCTGTCAACAGACTAGGAGATTGCATAGGTAAAAATATCAGACACACACAAAGGAACTGTGGTCTCCCGGTGTTTGTGGCTCTCAGTGCCCGGGTCTTTGCATCCATTCTAGGTCCCTTGAGTCCTCAGTACGGCTTAGGGGGATCCCGTCCCCCCTCCCAGACCCTCACCTGAAATTCTTCCTCCAGAACCACCATTTGCCGGTCTTTATCCACTTTCACTGGGGAAAGGAGGGCACGTAGGGGTTAGACCTGCTCCCAACACGTAGACGACACCAACCACACCCCCTTTGGCCACGCCCACCAGTTAACCCCTCCCCACACCCACATAGAGGTGCTGGTCCCGCCCCTTTAACGCCACGCCCACCTCGACGCAGGCAGCCCCAGATGCCACGCCCACCTCAGTGACAGTGGCCCCGCCCCTATTGCTCCCCCCCCCCCAGTTTCCCGTGGAGGTGGGGGTGGGGGGAGAAGATCACTCACTTATGATGGCTGCATTGTCTGTCTCTTTTCGGAAGCGGAATTTCCTCAGCTTTTCCTTTAGCTCCGGGTCCACCTCGCACACCACCAAGGAGTCAGACTGCCAGAAGGATCAGGAAGACTTGAGCTGGTCTAGACATAACCCTTGTGTCCCCCCCCCTCCCAGCCTCAGTTTCTCTCTCCAGGAAAGGAAGTCACAAGACTCTGCCCCTCCCGTTCACCAGGACAAAGGGCCCAGAAGTCAGGGTGGAAGCTTGGTGAAGAAGACCCAGGGGTCCATTTGCCTAGTTGCTAAGTCCAGCAAAACCACCTTCCCCATCTGTGACCTCTAGGCCACAGCTGACCTCCACCTTGATGTCCTCCCCACCGCAGCCCTGCTCAAGCGCCAGCCCCGAGCCCATCCCATTCAGCTCTAGGCCCCCTGACCATGGCTTGCAGCTTGCCTGCTTTTCTCAGTTCCGCTGTCTTCTAGAGGTGGGGACTACGGCTGTGGGGGGCGGGCTGTAGGGTAGGGGGGAAGGTTTCATCCAACACCACATCCTGTTTATGCCAGTTCTGGGACAACTGTCACTAAGGGCTCCTCCTCCTCCTTCCTTCCTCTAATCAGGCCAGGATGGTTCAAGCTTTGCAATCACTCAGACCAGGGTTCAAATATTGCCTTGTGGGTGGCTCTAGCTAAGTGGCTCCGCTCTTCTATTTCAGGATTGTAGTGAGGATCCTTAGGTTCACTTGTCTTCCAGCATGGCTGATTTGCCAGGCATGGTGACTCACTCTTGCCTGTAATCTCAGCACTCAGTAGGCTGAGACAGGAGGAGCATGAGTTCCAGTCTTCAAAACACTAAGTGCATGCCAGGTGTGGAGGCTCACACCTGTAATCCCAGCTACTAAGGAGGCCGAGATTTGAGGATCATGGTTCAAAGCCCGCCTGGGCAGGAAAGTCCATGAGACTGTTATTTCCAATTAACCACGAGGAAACCGGAAGTGGCACTGTGGCTCAAGAGGTAGAGAGCTTGCCCAGAGCTGAACAGCTGAAGGACAGCACCCAGGCCCAGAGTTCAAGCCCCACCACCAACCAAAAAACAAACAAACCCAAGTGCTGGGGATTTAATTGTCCAGTACCTGGCTTACGTTGGACTTTTTTCATGGCCTCTGTGGCCCTACAATTTTGCCATATGTATACTTCTCTCCATCTTAACATTAAGACTATTCAGAGTTTGGGTGTTGGTGGCTCATGCCTGTAATCCTAGCTTCTCAGAAGTTGGAGATACAAAGGATCACAGTTCAAAGCCAACCTAAGCAGAAAAGTCAGTGAGACTCTATCTTCACAATAACCAGCAAAAATCTGGGCTGGAGGTATAGATCAAGGTGGCAGAGTACCAGCTGTTAGCAGGTAAGCCAAGAGAGCACAAAGTTCAGAGTCCAATTCCTGGACCAGCATTAAAAAAAAAAAGTGTTCTGGGGAGTAGGGATGTGGTTCAATGTTAGAGAATATGTTCAGCATATCTCTGTAAGACTCTGGGTTCCACTAAAAATAAAAGAAAGAAAATATTTTGTATTGCCTCCTTTCCCATCTTGAAATGAAATTCCTAGGTAATGTGACCTACTTACACACATAAATTCAAAAAAATCAATATAATAACCCTAACTGTCAAATAAAGAAGAAATAACGGTAAAGTAATTTATGAGAGAACCAGATATATTTTAGTGAGAAAATCCAAACAAACAGAAGAGAATTTTCCCAAGGTCCTGATCCATTGTGCTCACTGAGCTTGCTCCCTTCCCTAGTAATGGGGAGCTCCACTCTATTCTTCAGCTCACCCCTGCCCACTCAAGCATGTCTCTGTGGTTGTCCTCTCTCTTACCTCTATCATCTGTCCCTAGTGGATTATTCCCCTAGGCCTATAGAGTTATTTCTGTTCTTCGAAAAACTCAAAACCCACTGGGTCTGGTTGTGTACACCTGTAATCTCAGCTATTCCGAAAGTGAAGATAGGAAGATCATAGTCAAGTAGGAGACACTACTTGAAAGATAACATAAAGTAGGAGTCCCCTTGTAACAAAGTAGAATGCCCCTTTCATGGCTAATGTATGTTAGTAAAAATTAAAAGTATTGGAAAGTGTGTGGTTCATGTGGTAAAATGCATGTTTAGCAAGCTCAAGTCCTAGAATTCAAACATCACTACTGCCAAAAATAAATACATAAACTAAAAACACCATCTTCATGGCTGTTTCTGCTCATTCATTTCCTTCTCTATTTTATTTGTTTATTTTGTTATGATCCTGGGGCTTGAACTCAGCCTGGGCTCTGTCCCTGATCTTTTTCACTCAAGACTAGCCCTGTACCACTTGAACCATAACTCCACTTCCAGCTTTTTAGTGGTTAACTGGAGATAAGAGTCTCTCAGATTGTTGGTCACCAGTGGCTCATGCCTGTAATCCTAGCTACTTAGGAAGCTGAGATCTGAGGATCACAGATCAAAGCGAGCCCAGGCTGACTGTAAGACTATCTCCAATTAACTACCAGAAAGCTGGGAGTGCCAGTATGGTTCAAGTGGTAGAGCACTTGCCTTGAGCTGAAGAGCTGAGGGACAGCACTCAGCCCCATGACTGACACACACAAAAAAAGTCTCTCAGATTAATCTAGACTAGATTTGAACTTCCACCTTCAGATCTCAGCCTCCTGAGTAGCTAGGATTACAGGCATGAGCCACAGGCACCTGGCTAAGAAATCGTATTGAATAAATGAAGCAACATGAAAGAGCACAACTACCTCTATATCTATGCAACAGGAAAGTTGTAGCTTCTGTCTAGGAGGTACTAATTGGGTTTTGTGACATCCCTGCCCTGGTGTGAAATGGCTTTTCCACCAGCCTTTGTGAGATTTGCATCTCCTTCTGGATTTGTCTCCTCCTTTCTGTTTTTTTTTTTTTTCTTCTTTTTCTGGCCAGTCCTGGGGCTTGAACTCAGGGGTCTGGGCATTATCCCTGAGCCTTTTTTTTTTTTATTTATTTTTATTTTTAGGTCCGGTTGTAGGGCCTGAACTCTGGGCCTGGGCGCTGTCCCTCAGCTCTTCAGCTCAAGGCTAGTGCTCTACCACTTGAGCCAAAGCACCACTTCCGGCTTTTTTCTTTTTGCTTATGTGGTGCTGAGGAATCAAACCCAGGGCCTGAGGCATGCAAGGCAAGCGCTCTACCATTGAGCCACCTTCCCAGCCCCTCCCTGAGCCTCTTTATGTTCAAGGCTAGCACTCTACCACGTGAGCTACATAGCCACTTTGTTTTTTGTGGTTAATTGGAGATAAGAGTCTCATGGACTTCCTTGTCTGGGCTGGCTTTCAACTGCAATCCTCAGATCTCAGCCTCCTGAGTAGCTAGGATGATAGGCGTGAGCCACCTGCACCCTACTTTGCTGGGTCTTCTTGATATTAATTAAAAGTGACAATACTCAAACTCCCCACGTCTTCATTTCTTAGGATTTCCCTGGGCCTATTCATCAGACTTCCCTGGGCTTCATCCCTCTCACAACTTCAATGAGCATCTTTTTTTTTTTTTGTCGGTCGTGGGGTCTGAACTCTGGGCTTGGGTGCTGTCCTTGAGCTCTTCAGCTCAAGGCTAGTGCTCTACCACTTGAGCCACAGCACCACTTCCGGTTTTCTTGTGGTTTATTGGAGATAAGAGTCTCACAGTCTTCCTGCCCAGGGTGGCTTTGAACTGTGATCCTCAGATCTCAGCCTCCTGAGTAGCTAGGATTACAGGCGTGAGCCACCGGCACCCGGCCTGTTCACTGATTTTTAACTCGTTAATCTTTGGCTCCAATTTGCCCCCTCGGTTGTGGAGCCTTCTTGGGCTTCATCGTCCACCTTGACCGTCCCTCCCATCTGCAACACCTCTTTTTCCAACAATCCTGCTGTCCTCGCTTTCCCACCCTCAGCTGCTTCTCTAGTCCCTCTAGACCTAGTTCTTCCAAATCGGCCTTCCATATAGAAGTGAAAGCCATCAGTCCCAAGCCCCCAACTCCTTAAGATCCTCCCCGTCTTGATCCCTGTCACAGGACAAGCCCAAACTCCCTCCAGTGGCCAAACATCTGGCCGCAGCTCATCCCTCACCACTGCAACCCTGAATGCATTTCTTTTTGAATTCCAGTAACAAGCCATCCAAATGTCATCCAAATGTCATCCGAGGTTCTCAAGTCACCCGAGGGCCTTCTGGCGGGTCGGGGGCGTGCTGGTCCCCTCCGGATTAATTACCACTGATGCAGGACACTTTGAGGACTCATAGCAACAATCCTTTTTACTGATGGTTTCTTTCCTGCTGGAGATGCCTTCTCTCTTTCCATTCTAAATGATCCATCTCCCGCTCCTCCCCGTCCCCGGTGTCTCACGGGAGATCGGCTCAGAGTGGCACCCTGGGGCGTGGGGACCAAGGTGTGCAGGTGCTGTCTGTCTCTCTCTCTCTCTCCTCCTTCTCTCTCTGTCTGTCTCTGTCTCTTTCGCTTTCTCTCTCTCCTCCCCCCCTCTCTCTCGTGAGCAGGGAAGTCGTAGGGCTCAGGCCCAGGGTGAGGCGTGTCAGAGGGGCGGGGTGGAAGGGGACTAAGAACGCCAGAATGAAGAATTGTGACTCTGAAGAGACCGGCGCGAGATCGCCCCCTGTCGGATCGGGGGTCCAATCACAAGGCTCTACCGGCCCGTTGCCCTTGGCAACGCCCCGCGCGCCCCGCCCTTTCTCCCGCCCTCCACTTAGAGTGCGGGCCTGGCCGCCTGCCCGTCACCCTCAAGTCTGACCAATCCCATTAAAGAGAGGGCGGGCCTCTTGGGCCTCGTTCCAGCCCCATCGCTCCCCTCCCTGGTCAGGACCCCGCCTTTTCGTCGCACACCTCCCGCCCTTCGGGCTGCCCTCGCCGCGGGTTGGCTAGTGCCCTGTTCGTCATCTGGGCGTAAGCTAATGGCGGCGCGCGATGGGCCCGTCGGGGCGGGGCCAGGGGCGGTGACGCACGGCGCGGTGACGCAGCGCGACGGCGGCGGTGGCGGCGGCGGTGGTCGTTGAGGGAGGAGGGAGGGGAGCTTGCGGGCCAGAGAGGGGGCGACGGCGGCGGCGGTGGTGGTGGTGGTCTGAGGAGAACCGGGCGGCGGAGGCGGCGGCGGCGGAGGCCGAGGCCGAGGAGGTGAGTCTCGGGCCCGGGCCTGACGAGCGCGGGGCGGTGG